CTTTTCTCTTTTACTTTCCTTTTTAGTTTTATTTTAGGATTCCCTATTTTTAATGTTCATACAGAGATTTCTTTAACTGAAATACCGAATAGTTTCTTTGGTGTGAAAAACTATAATAGTACACAGGATCCTAATGAGACAATTAATAATGTGAAATAGGAAGTAAAGGGCTAAAGGTGTAAGGAAAGTGGGAAGGGTGGGGGAAAGGTAATAAGGGAGAGGAAAAAAATATGAGAAACTGAAAAAATGGAAATAAAGTGTTTGTAAATGGGGAGGGGAGGAGGGGGTGAAGATGAGCTCAGGACCATGATAGAAGCCATGAAGGCCCAGCATAAGAAAGAAATGGAAAAAATAAACGCCCAACATAGGAAAGAAATGGAATCCATAAAACAGATTCAAACAGATATCCAGGAGATTAAACACTCTATTGAAAGTGTACGCAACAGAATAAAAGAATGCGAAGATAGGTTCTCAGATATAGAAGATAAGATTGCAGTCAGTGATCATGAAAAGAGAGGTCTCTTAAAAACAGGAAGAGATCATGAGAAGTCGATCCAGCAACTCTTAGATGATGCAAAGAAGAATAACGTAAGACTGACAGGAATACATGAAGTAGCAGGAAAAAATACAAATGACTTTAAAAATCTGTTTGCAGAATTAATGACAGAAAACTTCCCAAACAGAGGGGAAGAATTTGCTACTGTTCTTTGCCAGTTTTCTAACTGGATTTGTTTTAACTGTTGAGTTTTGAATGTTCTATATGTATACTAGATGTTATGACTTGTGTGTAGATGTCCCCCCAAAGCCTCATTTGTGGGGGGCTTTTCAGAGGTGGCTGGATTGAGAATGTGTGATCCTAAGATTACTAAATTAGTCTATTGAGTAGTTTGGCATAGTTCTGGGTGTAGATAGTGGGTTGGTCCACCCTGGAATGTGAATGCTACCCACTCTAAGGGCATGTAGCCTGGATAGACTATAAAGGACAGAAACAGGACTCTGGTTATTGCTTAGTGCTTCATTTGCTGCATTGCTTGCTGCTTGCGGCTTTCGCTGCCTCCTTCCTGCCATAAACTTTCTCTTCTGTGATGCCCTTCTGCCATTCCACACTCCTTTGAGCTAGCCAAATATGCACTAAAATCTCTACAGGCCGGGTATTTAGCTCAGTGGTTTTGCCACTTGCCCTGCAAGCACAAGGACCCGAGTTTGATCCCTGGTACCAAATAAATAAAGTCTCTACAAATTGTGTGCTGAAATAAACTCTTCTTCCTTTAACTTTGGGTGTCAGGCATTTTTTGTCTCAGCAGCAAGAAAAGTAACCAAGGCACTAAATATTAGTCTTTTGTTGGATATATTGTTTATGAATACTTTCTCTTAGTTTATAGCTTATCTTTAATCTCTTACCAGAATCTTTATAGAACAACAACAAAAAAAGCTTATAGATCATGCTTTTTGTGTCAGACTAAAGAATTCTTTACCTAGCCTTAGATATCAAATATTTTCTCCAATTTTTTTTACAGTGAACTTCAGAATAAAGTTGTTTATGACCTCAAGATATGTTGCTGAAATTGTGACAGGAATTGCATTGGTCCTATAAGTCAATTTAGGGACCAGTGACATTTTTACTACTTAAAATTGATTAGTCACTTCTGCATTACAGTTTAATGCTGAATATGTATGTGTATCAGCAACCTCACCCCAGTAGTGTGCTAGCATATAATAGGGACTTACTAAATATTTATAGCAGGGATGAAGGACAAGAGGGCCAAGGGAAATCTTGAAGATTCTGGACCAGTACTCCCCAAAGATGTTCATACAAGCAATCATATGCTAAGCCTGAAAAAAATTACGTATTTCTATGCTTCCTCCCAGTCCTACTGATTCAAAACATCTAGGGGCAAGGCCGTGAATCTGTGTTCTCAACATCCTCTGTAGTTGATTCTCAAGCACAGGTGAGTTTGAGAGCATTTGGTGGAGAAGCCAAAAGTGGAAGCTGTGTGCAAGGAGTGAGCTGAGTGCCCTGGGAGTCACCATTCTTCCTGACACTGGCCCTGAAACCAAGCACCTAGGGCTGCAGCCAAGTCCCCTATCACACATTAATATGCACTTCAAGAGAAATGGCTCAAACCAGGTTTATGGGCCTGGAGGAATCTTTTCCTACAAAGAGAGATACTCATTTCATTTGAATCTTTATCCCTCATTTCTTCTCCAAATAGGAAAGAAGGAACCACAGTTCAAAATTGTAAATAATATCATTTATTCACTTCATTGCATTCTTAATTAATTCCCTAATTGTGAGGCACTGAAGCTTGAGAGAATCTGAAAGAAAACTTTTCACTTCCCAGGAAATTTCTTTTCTGTTTACAAGAAAAAGTCATAACCTACAAGACTTTTCTATCATGAAGAGAACAGAAAGATTAGAAATGAAAGTGCATAAAGAGCAGTTCATAAATTGGATTTTGGAGCAGAGTATTTTTTAAACTTTGTTTCTGACTGGTTTCTCTGTCTGTGTCTCCTTCCCTCTGTGTCTCCTCTGTGCACCCCCATCTTTCCCCGCTCCCTTGTTCCCTCCCTCCCCCAGCTGTATCTGTGAGATCTTGCCTCTGCCATATGTCCCCTGTCACATGGTGCCAAGTATGTTCCAGGTCTATTTCTTTTGTACATTTGCAAATTCATGTGGTTTAATTTTTGTCATGGTTGTGGCGATCTGTCTTAAGGTCTGATCACACTGGATCTACTACTTCGTTCTTTTCTCAACATTCTCATCTTATTTTTTCTTCATATAATCACTAGAATGAGGTTTTATGTACAAAAGAAAAATCCTTTTAAAGGAATGTATAACTCTTTGGGTTGTATAGGAAGGGTGCAGAAAGATATCAAAACACGTTTCCCCCATGGGCTTTGGGCAAACTGGGGCATTTTGAGAACTATAGGAACTCCTTCCGTGATTGTGGAAATGAAGTAAACAGTGCAAACCAAAAGCTTCATCCATCCAGGAAGTGTGCACCAGACATTTGCCCAAGGCACCTTTTTGGAAGAGGTTGGTTGCCAACTCCTTTCTCTAGGAGAAGCCCCCAACCCCATCCCAACACACACACACAGAATTTCCCTTGATTGAAGTCTCAGAACTGTTCAAAATGAGCCCCAGGAATGACAGATGTCCTCGTTTAGAATTAGCCCTTAACACCTGGGCCAGTAGCTCCATCCCAGGTCATCATCTTTCCTGGTGACAGAGTCGGTGGGCACATTCTCTGGACCAAAATCATTTGAGGTCTCTTCCACCAAAGGGATGTCATTCAGAAACCCGAAGGTCCTGCCCCAGGAGACTGGCTGGCACTCTGTGTTCACCTAAAACAATACACAGCTTTTAGTGGGTGGCCTCATGATTTGGCCTGCACCCTTCCCTAAAGTGAACAGTTCAGTCCCTTTCTTATAATCTCACTGAACTATGTGCTTGGTATTTTTATTTACTTATTTTACTGTTGTTTTGTTTTTAGCCTCATAAAAGAGAAATGGAAGCCTTATGGTAGAAATACATATAGATTATGCAGAGTGCTATGGAAAGACGCACTCTATGGGAAACATAAAAATGTGCCAAAGGTACAGCCATGTGAATGTAGATGAATCCCCTGTTCTCACTATATGATCCTGGACAAATTAAATAAACCACTGAACCACTTATAAAACAAATAAAAAATACCATTCAAAATTTATGTGAGGAATTAAATCACAGAAACTAGTTTCCTACTATAACTGTTTTAATGGTTCAAATAAAATAATTTGGGTATAGGTTTATTATGGTTTAAATCTATAATGTCCCCCAAAGCCTCATGTGCTCATAGGTGTTGGGAGGTGATTGGATTATGGGGCTTAGAGCTGACTGGTTAGGAGACGGGGTCTAGTCAGAAGAGGTGGGTCACTGGGATGTAACTTGGGTTTATCTCCCTCCCCAGCTCCTTCTTCATTCACTTTGCTCCCAGTCCACTATGCCACGAGCAGCTCTCCACCATGCCCTCTCCATAGCACCCTAACTGGGAGCCATCTATGACTGAAACCTGAACAAACTGTGAGCCAAAGTAAGCCTTTCCTCCTTTAAATTTTGGATGTGGGATATTTTGCTTCACCAATGAGGAAACTGACTGAGGGTTTATAGGATATACTAAGCAAAGTCCTCTTTACCTCCTCTGAGACCTCTCCCCACTCCCAAGGTGAATGAGAGAATGGATACAGTGGGGATCCTTAACCTTTTGCTATGGGCCTTTTGGAGAAGGTGAAGAATGCTCGGAGCTGCTTTTTCCAAAAGAAGCACAAGTGTCTAAATGTGGGGGTCCCTGAGCACATGTCCCTGACCATGATGCAGAGCCTGGAACATCAGCACCTCCAGACCACCCTCTGTCTGCAGGGGAGGATCTGACCTGCTCTCCTTTTTGTGCAGGACAAGAGAGTACGATAGGACTCATCCCAAGCCATGCCCCATAGGAGGCTTAATCAGTTCACCCAGTCCCTACCGCCCTCACTGTAAGTGGGAACTTCTCCCCATCCCATGTCTCATGTCAGGACACAAGCCTAGTTCCATTGTCTATGTAGAAAAAAATCAACACAACTGAATATGTTCAAAAGTTGGCATCATCTCACAGAAGCAATTTCCCCCTTTAGATGTGTCATAAAAATAGCTAGCACTTTCTAAACTCTTGGCACGTGTTGTCACCCAACCCTTACAGTGACAGCACAAGGCAGGTCTGGTTGTCTCCAGGAGACAGGCTGCTGCAGGTCACCCAGCTAGTTGGGGCAGAGCCAGGCTTGAAGCTGGACCCCCACCCCTTCCCAAATGGTCTGACCCTACTTCTCTGTTCTGTGCCCAGTGCTGTAGTCCTTAGCTCCTGCCTCTGACCTTAGTTCCTGTGGCCAGAGAGGGCTCAGCCTTCTTTTTCCAGTTACCCCCCCCCAGGCAGCCCCTTCCCGCTGGGAAGGTTTCCCCTCTCTCCCTCCAGTTTTGTGAATTCATAATGTGCCTTCCAACCCTGTCAGGGTACCCAGCTTCCCCCACAAATGCCAAGCACCGCCTTCAAAGCCTTGGAATCGTCCTATTAACTTGTTGCTTCCTATTTCAGATGAGAACCTATGCTTTTAACATCATGTTTGAATTTCAAATATCCACCCCCTTATCAGCTTGCCTGCTATCCTCCTCCAAGAATCCAGTTCAACCACTTACCATGGCAGAACTCCCTTCCATACAGCTGGGGAACTGTGGCTAGATTACCAGGGATGAAAGTGAGCAAGTGTGTTTCAATTATCCCAGAAGCTTCATACACAGAAGCCTTGGTCCCTTGCAGTGGGCCTTGGAAATAGGTTTATGTGAAAGCTTCCTGACCAGTCAGCATTTTTGCTCTGCGACTGTGCCCCTTATGCTTTACCAGACTGTTGGCTATTTGCCTACAGAAGTCAGTTAACTTCATCCACTCCAGGACCAAGGTCTGTGCTGCCCTTGATCCCCCTTCCTGTGTTCCCACCCCAGCCTGGTGGCACCATCTCAGATTCAGGGTCTTCTGGCATTAATAAATAGTTTTCTTTTTGTACTGGGGATTGAACTTGGGACCTTGAGATTGCGAGGCACCGCTGATCTAAATCCCCAGCCCCTGCACTTTCTTGATTAGGATCTGCACCCATCACTGTGGAGCAGTGAGAAGGCCCTGTTGTCCAACACAAGACTCTTCTCAGAAATTTACCCAGCAGGGTCATTTGCAGCAGATAGGACTGGAATGGGCTCTGTACCTGCAGCCCCCAGAAGGGGGGCCTAGGGTATGAGAGTATGGTCACACTCAAGCCAGGCAGCACAGCAAGACACTGGACATGTGAGCCCTGAAGTGGGGGTCCAACAGCTAAATTTCTCTCCTGTGTAAAATGGAGCAATAACAGTCTCACTTTATAGAGTCACTGTCATAGAACAAGGGCCATGTTGAGCACTCAGTGAAAATGGCTGCTGAGATGTCCCCTGGGGGGGGGCCATCAGGAAACTTGGTGGACTGAAAATATGGAGCCTCCTGGGGAGGGTTCAGCTTCGCCCTTCCCAGACCACACAGTACCCACCTGAGGGTATCATCATTGCATCCTTGGTTTCTTCCAGGTCTTCCCACTCACTCTCACTCCCCTGGCTCCCTTCCAGAGGACAGGACTCTGGACAAATGTCCTCAGAACAGATCTGTGGCAATGGAATGGTCCCCGAGTCCAGCTCCAAACAGTCTCCACAGGACAGCTGTTCTTTGGATGTGCAATGGATGGTCAGGTACTCTTCATCCTCCCAGGTGAGGGAGAGGGCTTCCAGTGGACAGCATGTGTTCCCTTCATGGTCCCTGTCCAATCCCAAACCAGAAAACAGAAACTGTGTGTCTTCCAACCTCAGTCAGAAACTCCTCACCCTGCCTTCTGCATGATGCAGCATGTGAGACCCAGCCAGGGTTCAAGCAGCTACTGCCAGAGGTGGCTGTAGGCACTGAGAAGCAAACAGTGAAGACGGTATGGCCACTGTCCTGAAGGAGGCCCCAACATTGTGAGAACAAAGAGCAGCATACATATATTACAGTCCAGGTAGGAGGCAGAGGCAGCTAAGAGCATCATAAGAGTATCAGGCGGCTTCCCGAGCTCAGGGGACTGCAGGGGACTTGCCGGAGGGTGTGGCATGGCAAGCAGAGCTATGACCCAAGTCTAGCACAGACTTTCCACTTGATAAGCAGAGCAGCCCAGAGCCTGGACGAGCTTATTAACTCCCCTAGGACCTCAGTTTTCTCATTAAAAAACACCTGGAAGGTCCATAGCTGTATAGCATGGCTAGGATGCTGACATGGAATGACCCCATTCACAGCTCTCATGGCTCCTGGCACACAGTGAGTTCGCAGTGGATATGGGGGCTATTGTGACTGTGGTGGTGATGACTGTTCCAGCAAAGGATTAGAGGAACAGAGCCAAAGGACACCAGGAGCCACTTGAGCAGGTGACCTTTACAGCACTTTGTGCAAATATCAGGTCCTTTCCTGAGCACTGAAAAAGTGCCTATTTAGGGAGGCAGCCAGCTGGAGTGACATTTACTCCCTGTGTCACAGAAGGACAAAGGAGGCAGAGGAGCAGTTTGGCTTCTTATCTAGGGATGCAGCTGCAGGCAAAAAGGTGACAGAATGAGCCTTCTGGGGCTGCCCCCAGCTCCACATACAGGGCAGGGTGCTTTGAGCAGTTCAGCAGACCTGCACAGGGGTGCTCAGAAAATATGTCACAAGTCTAGTTAGAGAGGATGAGAGGGAGAATCTAAGAGAAATGAAGAGATTAGTTTTTGCCAACTCCCTGGATTCTTGCTTCTCAGTCTCCTTCACCACCCCCAAATCCTTGGGTTGGCTTTGTTACATCCGCCACATCCTGCCACCTCCCCTTCCCCTTCCCAAAGTGCCCTTTCTTTTAAAATGGTCTCTGATGCCCCTCAGTAGCTACAAGCCCCCACCCAAACACCCCGACACCATCTGTCCTGGCCTGAGTTTTGCTGTGAAATGGACACGATTTACATTCATGAGAGGAAAGGGGTAAAAGTGCATTTTATGTAAATATATGCATGCTCATGTGTGTAAAAAAGATTCTACACGGACTAAATACAGAGAAAGCTTCGCTTTCAGGAAAGAAGTATTTAAAAATTGCCAAGTGCTTGGAGGAGAAATTGATTAGAAAAGTACTTTACCAAATTATATAGAAACTATGCTATCTTATAAACATAGAAAATAAATATCCAGGAAATTTTGTCAAAAAAACGGGAAACCAGACCTGCTACCCAGCCCCCTGTGCCCCACCCTGAGGGTGTACAGTGCTGCTGGTCACTGTGCCACCTGGTTGACACCCCCCTACCTCCTTACTCCCTTCACCCCTCCTAATGAGCTCTCTGGCTTTCTTGTGAAGCTGAAGCTGCTGGTGCTGTTTGGACAGAGACCCAGAAACCACCAGACTTGGAGACAAGAAGCAAGCAGGCAGCCCATCTAGGGGGACTTGATGGCTCTGAGGGTGAAACTATCTCTCCTTCCAGCACAAGTCTGGAAGAATGACAATCTTTCCTTCCACCCTTCCACACAGGCTATGAGGCTGCTCTTGGAGATC